GGACCCGCTCGCACCGGAAGGTGTCGACATTATCATCCAATGGGGTGGTAATGACGTCTATGGCGAGTATGGTTACAAAGGCTTTTCCTTCCACATGCGCAATGCGTGGGTTCGTGTTGATGATGCATTGCATGACACCCTTTCCAATTGGGAGACCAAGGGACGCAAGGCCGTCGAGGACGCAAAAGATGCCCTGGTCCGTCTCTCATCCCGGAAGGGAGTGTCCTCTGTCACGTTGGTGGCTGGCCCCCACAACGGGGAATTCTACGGGCTCCCAGAGGTCTACGACCTGGAGATGGCTCGCCACTCCGATGAGCTGAAGGAGCGAGGGATCCGCATAGTCGATCCCCAGGCTCACATCCTTTCGACAGAGCGTTACGATGGGTTTCACATGGAGGCTACCCACGATAACGTGAAGGTAACCACTCGCTGGTTCTTTCACATGTGCTCTGCAATCATGTTCGAGCGGTGGCTTGTGAAGCACGCGATGGAGCTTAAGGCCAATTCGCGTGGCATCCTCTTTCACAACCACTTTCACCTCGGACTCGGCTTGGAAGAGCTCGACATCCCTCCTACCACGGACTTGCTCATCCCGGCGGAAGCTGAGATGGTGACTTTCCCACCTGAGGCACCGCCCGTGCAACGTTTCCCAGAGGAGGAGATTGTCTTGAACCAGCCGATCCTCAGCTTGGAAAAGCTTGACGAGCTTGAGGGTGTACCGCCCACTGACTATGTCAATGAAGTGGCGAAAGAGTCAGAGGAGCTCACGGTTGAGGATGTAGTGTCTCGTAACCCGAATCCGGAGGACGAGCACCTCACCGTGGAAGCGGTTGACCCCGGCTCGGAGATGGAACAAATCGTTCGGAAAATGATTGAGTCGGTGAACCTGGTGATGACGGATAAGGAGGCTGAAGAGGTCGCCCAGGAGACGGGTGTTGCTCCATACGAGTTTGTTGAGCCGAATGTCACAGCTACATCTGTCATGGATGGTGAGGCAGTCTCTACGATTGCTACTTCCGACATCCCGACGGAAGTCTGGGACTCCGGTCCGATGGCTGTGGACTACGGCGCAGACGATGAAGTGGAGCATCCCCGCGGAAGTGGTGGACCCATCTGGCTTACACCGGATCAGCTACCTGATGTCAAGGGTCGCATGGGATACTTTCGCCTCAATGAGATGGAGTGTGTTTCGTTGGGCAAGAAGCTGTCGTGGCACCTGCGTGGGCATGCCAAGGACAAGGGATTCCGCACTGTTGAGTTCGACGAAGAGCAGTCAGCAGAGATTGGTGATGTTTTGAAGGTCATTGGGAAACAGTGGTCCCGCCTGACAGTGATGACCATCATTGACCTGTTGACGTCCGATCACTGTGACAAAGCACGGTTCGAACTCCAGGCGGAAGCCTTGGACGAGGAGACGCGGTTGGGCCGGGGAACAAACTGGCACTTTACCCGTGTCCGAGCATTCCAAGGACACAACGCCTGCTTGCTCGTCCTCGACAGCGACCCGCTGAAGACCACTGTCAAACAGTGGGCCCTCGATGATCAGTGGATCCCGTCCTATGTTGATCTACCGATCACTGGTCCGTATCCTTATCGGGCAACGGCCTTCGATCTGATGCCAAAGCTGGCGTATCACGCCACATACTGGCGAAATTTCATCAAGATCGTCAACACAGGCCTCATCCCGGGAGGGAAAATGACCTCGAAGGGCAACAGCGGAAGGCCCTTCAGCATGTTCGCGATGGAGCCTCAGTGGGAACGCACCTCCAATCAGGGCGTCCGCCCTGGCGCGCAGCTGGAATTTGTGATAGACTTACAGCTCGCTGCTTGCGATGGCTGTCGGTTTTTCGAGACAAAAGCTGGTGCGCTGCAGACGCCGGATTGGATCAGCAACCGGGCCATTCTGTATGCATACGACCGGTCGACTCAGGAAATGATCTGGGCGAACCGAGCATACGAACCGGCGCGGAAGCGCTTGGCCCAGGCGTGCAAAGACAAGAGCCTCAACACGCCCATTTTCGGCGAGCGGGGTCACCAGGAACTGATCGATGCAAATGGCTATTGCTTCAACTACCTCGTTGCAGGCCTAGGGTATCGCAATTTCGACACCTGGAAAGACGCCGCTAAGGCATGCAAGGATGTCTACGACCTTGATTTCTACCCAACAAGCATGTGTGGTCTAGACATTCGCATCCCGGAAGGGCATGCCTTGCAGGGCTCTGAGTCGTTGTACAAGATGGTGGTTCACGTGGCTCCGAAGCACCCTCATCAGAGATGCAATGATGAATCGGATTGGCGTCGCCAAGAGAATGTCAGCATTCCTTCTTTTGCTTGCCCGAGCTGCGGTACATCCAACGTTGATGGTACAATCTGCTGCTATCGATGTGAGTCTCGACTGGAGCCGCACTCAGATGTGAGCATGGCCTTGGAGAACACCCGTGCAAAGCAAGTTGCCGCCCGGAAGGGTGAGCCCCTGGATTACAGGGCATTGCAACCAAGCGGGGAGGTCAACTCCAATCGGGCCACGGGCAACAAGAGGGATCGAAGTGCTGGCTCTGGCCCAGCCGCTGTTCGTCAGCAGGCCGCTAAGTACCTCGGAAAGGCCTTAAAGGCGGGTTCTCGCACTGTTGTTGAGCGTCAGTCTCGTGATCCGTTCACGGCCTACAACAATGCAAGATTTGGCATATCCATCACGGGGCTTGAGCAACTCATGATTTTCGCCCGAATGAGGATCGCCAACCCGCCGAGGTCACGCCAGATGATCCATGACCGCACTGGCTTTGACGGCGCAGCGAAGGTGAGCTTCTCATTCCCACCGGAAGGTGAGGACCTGACACTTACGGACCACTGCTTTGTGGCGTTCGTGGACAGGTTCTATAAGCTTGACGAAGCCGCCTTGCTAGCGTTTGCCGTCCATCGCAATGGCTACGTTATGGACATACTGGGCTTCAGCGGTCGCATCTTGAAGCCGACCGGTCCAGTGGTACAGATCTTGGCTAGGATTGTGGGATTCTTCCAAGACGAGGTACGATATGCAGTTGAGCGCGGCGAACAGGTGCCTGAGCTGGTCTTACCTGCCAATCAGGAACTCCGCGTCCCGGAAGGGCTCGCCTCTCTTGGGGACAGACAGCTGAACGAGCTTCTCATCAACACGAAGTTCGCGAGACAGCTCCCCGGCGCCAAGGGCGTCAATGAGAGGATCGGATATGCCTTTCGAGCAGGGAGGACGGAGATCAGAGGCAGATCAGCTCAGCCACCGATTCCTAAGGCGAGGCCTACTACTCGAGCGACTGGCAGTGCACAGCGAGCTGGCTCAGTTCCTCCGAAGCCACGAGCGCGCCCACGCGACCCTTCTCCGGGAGTGGCAGCTACCCGTCTGCGGCCAACCGAGCCCAGCTATCCGCCATGCGGAAGGGATGTGCCAGGATCGTCAACGGATGCACCGATGCGTCCGCCCGAGCCAAAAGGGCCTCCACCAACGACCTTGGTTGTCGATTCAAGGGGGAACCCTATTGACCCATCGCAGTCGCGCCGACCGTACTTTACCCGGCATGATGCGCTGCTTTGGGCTCGCCTCAAGGCTTCTCGGGACAAGAACGTTCCCAGAGGAATGGAAGATCGTGCGGTACCGGCTTTTCACGATTTGAACGACTTCCACCTCCTGGCACCGGAGCATGTGGGCTACTTCCTCGCTGGCTGGAAAGAGACCCAAAACGGGATCCGCCTGTACTGACTGCCGCGTCTTGTGCAGTACAGTAGCAGCTAATTAACATTTTCGGTTCGTTGTGCTGTATTCTCCACCCTGACGGGTCGGACATGTAAGAGTAGTTTATCTGCTCCATGTCCATTGTTCTGCCTCCCTGACGGGACGGCCTAAGTAAAGGGCCGGAACTGATGGGACATGGCACGTCAGGAGTGTTGAGATCTTTCTAAGAGCTTTGTTGCACCTAAGGTGTAAAATCAGCCTGCTTCTGCATTCGCAACATGTTGGTAGCATACTGTACTTCTACTTTCGCCTCTCTTCGCTGCCCTAAGAGGCGCGGGGGGTGTTTTATTGCTCTTTGTACGTATGTCTACCGACCTTTACTGTTGTTTGGCTCAAGACAAAAAGTGTGTGTGCGATTCGTGCTATCGTGCACTATCTATATTTTATGTGGACATCCCTACCTTAATTGGCTTCATTATGAGGACGTCTACATGGGATATCACCATTTTAATCATTGCTGATGCCGGCTTCAAGAAAAAGTCAGAAGCGCGTGGACGTCCGGATTGCTTTCAAAAAGGCTTCGTCGCAGAGGGCTTGCTTCTCAATTGTGAATATCAAGTGCGAGCCCCCCGTTACTTACAGTGCTCGTGGGACGTAGTGAGTAAGGTTATAAGTAAGTTAAAAATCGGATAACCGACTAGGGGACTTAGAGCCCCTATTAATTATGACCTACTTACTAAGTCCCATGATCCTTTAAGTAGCTTAAATTCCCCCTTATAGATCCCTTAAAGGAGCCTTTTAAGGAGCCCTACTTAACCATGATCCTTTATGGCCTACTTACTCAGTCCCATGATCTTCTAAGTAATGCCGACTCCTCAGTTCCATTTCGGAGGAGCATAATACCGGAGCAATGCATCACGTGGTCATACGGTTGATGATATAAATCCTGCATTACCCATAATAAGGAATATACCATAATTCCCATAGTTTAGGGCCCTTAAGGTAATGCAGGATTTATATCATCAACCGTAATAAGCTAAAGCGGTTGCAGTGGAACCGGTAGAAGATCGTCTGGCATTGCTCTACTCGGAATCCCGTTACAGACGACGCAGAAGGGCTGTACGATCGCGGCCGCCGAAAGAATCATCTGGGGGCCCAAGACCCTATTCTAGTTATTAAGGCCCCTATACCCCTTTAACGGAGCCCATATTATTGAGGCCCCTACATGAACCCAATCTTGACCGTCTTATAGTACGTCGCAAACCCTAAACCCTAAAAACTAAACCCTGACGAGGAAGATCTGGGGAGGGCCATTTTCGTGTCCCATGAGTGGATGAGTGCGGACCATCCGGACCCTAAGGGGGAGCAGCTCAAGGTACCCGGATCGAACTTGGCAGGTTGAGGGTTTGGGGATTTAGGGTTTAGGGTTTAGGGTTTAGGGTTGATTGTGGCTTCAGGTGCACGCCGTGGCTTGATTTGACACAAATCAGGAAGACCTGCTGTGCAATCCAGGGCCAGCAATACTTGTTTTCATCGCCAGAGATGTTATTTCAGTAGATATAAGAGTAGCGATGGTGATTCTGGTGCTGCTGGCTGTGGGCTGGTGCCGGTGCAGGTCTGGTGCCCGTGTTGCCGGCAGCAGCAGTAGCAGTGGTAATGCTCAAGGCTCATACTGTCGCAGTAGGGGTTTCAGCAAATTCAGGGTCGTCGTGATCATCGTAGTCGTCGCCAAAATTTCATCATTAGCAGCAGCACCAGCATTGTTTTCAGCGCCTTCGTCAGTAAAGCCATAATTACCATCACCATCGCCATCAGAATGGCAGTAGTAATGAGAAAAATGACCCCACCAACACCAACACCTTCTGCAGCATCAATCAAAAGCAACACCATCGTCGTCGCCATCATCAGGGTCATCCTCATTTCCACCGTAGTTGCCTAGGGCCTGGTGCTGAGAGTGTTGCCGGTAGGAGGATTTGCTGTGGTCGTATTGTGCATATAACACTGTGGTCGTGCTTGCTGTGTTACTCGTACTGGTGGTCAGAGACCCTAATGTAGGCCTTCGCAGGAGGGTCTTGCATCTTTACATGGTCGAAACCCCCTCTCCTTTTTACGTCAACCTTTGCACATCCCCAGACCCCCAAACCACTGAGTAAGCCAAGCAAGGTATAATATAGTACAATATAGTATAATATAGTGTGATATATATACTATAGTAATTATATAGTATAGTATATCGTATATTATATAGTATATTATATAGTACATTATATAGTAAGCCAAGGTCCTGCAGGATGCGTTGCGTAACCTTCTGTCTGGCAGCTGCCGAATCCGTACGTCGGCCGTGACCGAGCTCTGCTTCGGCAAAGTGAGAACTCCAACACCTCAGGATTCTTATTGCAGTAAGCTCAACTTTTCAACGCTTGGGGCTCTTATAAGGTAGTCGACTCTGAAAGTTTCAACTTTCGTTTTGGGTTTTGGGCCAGTGAGGATTAGGGTCCCAAAAAGGACATAAGCATAAGCATTTAATGGGGATATCCCTACCTTAATGGGCTTCAATATAAGGGGGTTTATATGGGTCTGTCCTTGTTTTTGCTTATGCTGGGCCCTACAGGAGCTGCGCGAAAAATCGCTGTATGTGTGGTACGACTATCTCAGCTGTCCACAAGGCTCAGACGCAGAAGCAGTTTCGGGTCGACAGAGGGCGATTGACACGATTGTTGCCTATGTTGCACGGTGTCAGTACTTCGTCGTCCTCTGCCCGGCTCTTGCCCACCATGATCGTAACCAGATCATTGATACGGAAAGCCTAAACCGACGAGCGTGGTGCCGCGCTGAGAGGCTTGCTCGAGAGCTGGGAGAACGTGGGGATGGTCAAACCGTCGTGATCGAGAGTGCCGGGCATCAGAGCCTGGTGATTCCCACACAGCTGCATTTGGCTGCTCCAGGCACAGGGGAGCTCACATTTGAGCAGGATCGCCCCCGCATCAGGCGGCTGGTGCTGCAAATGATCTGGAAGAAGTTGTTGTATTTCCTTGAGCGAGGTGATCTTCACAGCTATCGCTTCCTCTTGAACAAGCAACATGCTTGTTGCCTTCAGGGCCTAGACACCCAGCCGCTTGAAGGCTTGATTCCGGACTTTCGGCCACGGAAGGATCCATTCCTGAGCCCAGGAAGCTGTGCTGTAGAGCGGTTTTTGCACGAAAACGGTTTCTGCACAATCCAAGACCGTGACACTGCTGGATGGACCCCGCTATGCTATGCTGTGATGACTGGTGACTCATCGTTGGTTGCAGCCCTGCTGGACTCTGGGCCCTTGTTAAGGAGGTTGATTCAATGGTTGAGTCACCATAATAAGGAAACCCCACCATTTACTTTAGATTTCATGGATAGCAAGAACCCAGGAACATGGCGCAAACAGCAATGATTCCATCACCAAGAGCAAGAGAGAGCTACTGTTCCCAAAGAAGATGTCCGTATTGTCCATAGCCGCCCACTTTCGCAGTAACGAGACACTCCAAGTGCTCTTAGCTGCAAGGGCAAATGTGAATGCCCGCGACAGCTTCAAGACGACTGCATTGCATTGGGTTTGTACGTCAGATAACTCTGAAGGTTTCCAACTTCTGGTTGACGCAAATGGCGATTTGCAACAACAGGATGGTCTGGGATTTGACATCTTCAAGACAGCCTGTGCTAATGGTTCCTACCGAATTCTCACCAAGATGCTCGCTGAGCCTCATGATGACATCAGCCTGCGCAGCTGCTTTCACTGGGCGCTCTTGATTGGAGGGGGGTCGAGGGATGCCATTTCCCTTCTCATCTCAGCCAAAGCAGACGTTAACGAGACGTGGGACTTGACGTCGTCCAGGCTCCTAAAGGCGGCACTGACAATGCATCTAGGATGTTCAGTGGTGTCCTTGTGTGTTTTTTGGTCTTGGCTCCTCAGATAATAAAACTAGGACCCTAAACCGTAAACCCTAAACTTTAAACCCCTACATCCTAAACCCTAAACCCGTAATCCCCTAAACCCCTAAACCCTAAACCCCTAAGGCCCTGAACCCCTAGACCCAAGGACCCTAGGACCCTAGACCTTACCTTAGGTATCTTTGTCATAGTTGGGTAACATTTTACATTTTTATGGGTACTTAAACCCAATAAGGAATACCTTAACCCCACGTAACCGACCCTTTTAAGGACTTATATAAAGAAATCATATTAAGGAACCTTAAAGAGGTAGGTTCCTTAGGGTCCAGGTAAGAATTTAAATTTTTAATCCGATCCCAACCATGAGCTAGGTATGGTGTCCGGCATCGCATTCGACCTTCAAGGCTCACGATGTTGGCCTATCACCACGTGGGATCCCTGGGATGCACTTGGTGTCCTTGAGGGTTTGGGGGTGTAGGGGCTTAGGGGTTGAGGGGCTTAGGGGTTTTGGGTTTAGGGGTTTTGGGTTTAGGGGTTGAGGGTTTAAGGGTTGAGGGTTTAGGGGTTTGGGGGTTGAGGGGCTTAGGGGTTTTGGGTTTAGGGGTTTTGGGTTTAGGGGTTGAGGGTTTAGGGGTTGAGGGTTTAGGGGTTTGGGGGTTGAGGGGCTTAGGGGTTTTGGGTTTAGGGGTTTTGGGTTTAGGGGTTGAGGGTTTAGGGGTTGAGGGTTTAGGGGTTTGGGGGTTGAGGGGCTTAGGGGTTTTGGGTTTAGGGGTTGAGGGTTTAGGGGTTGAGGGTTTAGGGGTTGAGGGTTTAGGGGTTTGGGGGTTGAGGGGCTTAGGGGTTTTGGGTTTAGGGGTTGAGGGTTTAGGGGTTTGGGGGTTGAGGGGTTTAGGGTTTAGGGGTGTAGCGTTTAGGGCTTTTCCACTCCTTGAAAGAGTTGCGGGCGAGGGTTCCTTTAAGGCAGCAGCAGCAGCAGCAGCAGGAGCAGTAGCAGTAGCAGTAGCAGTAGCAGTAGCAGTAGCAGTAGCAGCAGCAGTAGCAGTAGCAGTAGCAGTAGCAGTAGCAGTAGCAGTAGCAGTAGCAGTAGCAGTAGCAGTAGCAGTAGCAGTAGCAGTAGCAGCAGTAGTAGCAGTAGCAGTAGCGTAGCGGTAGCAGTGGCAGTAGCAGTAGCAGTAGCAGTAGTGTAGCAGTAGCAGTAGCAGTAGCAGTAGCAGGCAGTGGCAGCAGTAGCAGTAGCAGTAGCAGTAGCAGTAGCAGTAGCAGTAGCCGTAGCGGTGGTGGTGGTGGTGTAGTGGTGGTGGTGGTGGTGGTGGTGGTGGTGGTGTGGTGGTGGTGGCGGGTGGGTAGTGGGTAGTGGGTAGTGGTAGTGGTAGTGGTAGTGGTAGTGGTAGTAGTAGTAGTAGTAGTAGTAGTAGTAGTAGTAGTAGTAGTAGTAGTAGTAGTAGTAGTAGTAGTAGTAGTAGTAGAAGTGTAGTAGTAGTAGTAGTAGTAGTAGTAGTAGTAGTAGTAGTAGTAGTAGTAGTAGTAGTAGTAGTAGTAGTAGTAGTAGTTGTAGTAGTAGTAGTAGTCGTCGTAGTAGTAGCATCATCCTCATCAGCAACAACAATAGCAGTATCAACATCTTCAGCTTATCGTCGGAATGATCTTCACTGCGTGTCGAGTCTAGTTCATGGCCATGTGCACCAGCACCAGGGGACCCGAAGATAAGCGAGAGAAGCGAGAAACACTGCAGCTCCTGGGAAAGAACGCCCTCAGGATTAGAATAGGGTCTTATCGTTAGAATAGGGAACCGCCCAAAATGCCATAGGTAATTGTTTAAGGCCCCTATAGTATTGAGGATCCACGCCGCTTATGCTCAGCATCCTGAACGGGTATTTCGGAGCCACCCTCCTGCTATTGGAGGCCAGGGCGCAGGCGGGCGCCGGGGTGCATCACAGGGTGGTACGGTTGATGATATAACTCCTGCATTACCTTAATGGCCCCAGACTATCGGGATTGTGGCATGTTCCTGATTCTGGGTAATGCAGGATTTATATTATCAACCGTAAGACCTTGAAGGGCGGAAGCACGGACCTTTGACAGACGGTCAGGTCCGGTTAGGTCTCCTTGGTAGAAGGCTTGTCAAGCTTAAGTTAATGGTAAGGGACACCGTATTCCGGTGGGAGCTTGGTATGCACATGAATGGTGGGATCCTTACGTATCATTACACCAGTAAACAGTGAAAGACCATACCAGGATTCTAAACTCTAGACTCTAAACCTAAACCCTAACATTAGGATTAGGACCAGGAAGTCGACGCGAGAGATGTGCGCCGGACACACCCTGCGCAAATCATAGGACGTGGGGACCCAGAGACTCCGATGTCGGAGTATTCCTTAAATCATCGTAGGGGATCCGGCTAAACTTTAAGGTATATTCCTTAAGTAAGGGATATTGGAGTCTCTGAGGGCCAGATCTGCATCATATGCTGTAAATCACGGGACCCTGGGAGCCATTCTGGCTCGGGCACCCCGCGGGTCCATGAATCAATTCTCTTTACACCGAGGGTTAAGAACCCTAATACAGGAGCCTTAATAATTTACTATTTTGGGGGCTCCTTATTACAGTTTTATTAAAATATACCCGCCAAAACCTTATTCTAATTATTAAGGCCCCTATATTAAACCGTTTAACCCCCGGGTTTGGGGATGAAGGCCCTTAAGTAAGGCACGCAAGGCTCCAGATCTTGAGGCCTTGACCACGCTGGTGCATCCTTTTACTACCAATCCTGCTAAAAGGGCTCATGGGAAGGTTAGACAAGAAGTGTATATGGAAGCTCTTAGTTAGGATAACCGTACTTGGGGGACGTGTAATCCCAATCATAGCCCTACCTACTCAGCCCCCTGAGCCTTCAAGTGCTACTGGGCTTCGTTCTACAAGCCTGCTTCAGTCGCAGAAGAGAATTAAAGCAGTTAACCTAATCCCCAAGCCGTACCGAGACCCAAAACCTGATAAACCTTAAGTCCAAGCTACAAGCTTAGATGGGAGTTTCCGAAAATTAGGGGCCTCGATTAAGGGTCCCCTATTTTCGGAAACTCCCAAACCCTTACAAAGCCCTCTAAAGGAACCAAATAGTACCCTTATAGTAACCCTTTAAAGGAGCCCTTATAGTACCCGAATTTCGGAAACTCCCAAATTTGCAGGTGGACAAGAAGAACAGTCGGGGGCGAACAGCGCTCCAACTAGCCCAGGACCTGTTGGAAGAGCTGCATGGTGTATGAGCTCGTAAGCGAATAAGAAATATTGTGAATGCATGTGTATATATATATATATATATATTATGTGTGTATGTATATATATATATATATATATATATGTATCTGTATTTATATGTACACATATGCTTACGAGTAGACATACACATACACATACGTACGGCCGTGCATGCATGCATACATAAATGTATACTTTTAGGGTTGAGGTATACTTGCATGCATGCATGCATGCATGCACACATGTAGCGGAGTTGCAGCCCCTATGCTCAAGCTTGATTATCATGGATCCTCTAGAGTGGGGGGCACGATCTGTGTGCGTGGCTCAACGTTCAGGGTAGCAGTGCTGGGTTTACCGCGGAGCAGTTAAGATAGCCGTCTGCAGTGGAAAGCTCGAAACTGAGTAGAGCTTTGGAAAGATTTCTCGCGGATTCTTCAGGTTGCAAAGGTTGTCGTTAAAAACGGAATCTCATGAATACATGGCGCTAAAGTGGAGTCTATCGAGGGTAGCAACACACAATGCATATAGGCACCTGAACACGCGAGCCTCGGGTGCCTTGTTTTTGCAGTTGTTGACGGAACCGATTTCTGGGCTCAGGGTTTAGGGTTTCGGGTGTGGATTGAGGGGTTTAGGGTTTCGAAACCTTGATTAAGCCCGCTGTCATCTTGATTCTGTCGCAGCAACGGTGCATGTTAAGTACGTAGAAGAATCGCGGCTTGAGCCCAGTACACCCTACAAAGCACCCCGCAACCTCAAACCGGTGAGCTTCTGAGCTTGTATGGGAGCTTCCGAAAATTAGGGTACCTTTTTTGGGGTCCTCATAATAAGGATCCTACTTTTTAGGGTGCTATTTTAGGGTCCCCTTTTTCGTCAACCCTCATATAGGAGCTTGAATAACTAATAGTTCTCTTCCTTACCATGGAAGCCCCAAACCCTCAAGCCCTAAATTCTTCACACTCAAGCCCTGGCTCCCCACGGCACTACACCCTACTTAAAACATTGCTTGCGATCTCCCTAGACCTCTGTATTGCAGCGTTAATCTATAGACCTAGAAGTGTCATAATGACAATTAGAGTCGATTTTAGGGTACGCTTCAGTCTACTTGCTACCTACTTGCTAGTCTAAAAACCCTGAAGCCAAAACCGTAATCCCCCAACCCTCAAGCCTGAACCCTGAACCCTAAACCTTGGTAGAACCCCCTAGAACCCCAGGAGGCACAGGCGCCCTGCCCGGTCTATCAGGCTATGGAGTCCGAACTGCAAAGGGAGGAGGATTCAACGGAGGAAATTTTCTCCGTCTGAGTCAGGGTTTAGGGCTTTAAGGCCTTCGGGCTTCAGGATATACCGGTTTCGGGTTTTCGGTGGTTTAGGGCTTTATGGCTTTGGGTTTTCTGTCTGAGGGTTTAGGGTGCTGGGGGAGAAAGGATTTGTGGCTGAAGTTTACTTCCCTCAGAAGCCCCTTACCCTCTAAACCAAGAAGGGCACCCCTTTTTATTCCTGAGCTACTCTTGGGTCTAGAAACCAGGTTATAATTGGTGTTATAAGTCCCCTAAGTGGGGTCATCCTAACTAAAACCTACTGAAAACCTTACTTACTAAGTCCCATGAGCCTTCAAGTAAACCCCAAATCCGAAGCTGAAGCCCTAAACCCTAAACCCTAGGATCCGTGATTTGATGCTGCTGAGGGACAGGGCTGAGAGCCGCAGAGCCCCAGGCTGACGTGTGAAGAAATCACGTCGCCTTTGTTGTAAGGGCCTTAAGAACTAAGTATATTCAAAGGGGAAAAGGAGGGACCCTTAATGGGGACCCCTACCCTTTATTGGGCTATATAATGGGTATATGCTAGCTATATTAAGGGTATGTACCAAGGGGTCCTTATTAAGGGTCCCGCCTTTTACCCTTGGATATACTATATTGGGGGTTCCTAAAACCCACGATTACCTTGCAGCACAAAGACAGCGGAGACCATTTTTAAATTGAAGCTTGCGTTGCAGAACTTGTTTTCCAGCCGGAATCTTAAGGACTCCAGCCTTCCGTGTTCCCCTTTAATCATTCTCGGGACCCTCAAGAAGGCCTCTTGACGGAGGGATCTTGTTTTCTCTGGGAGCTGGTAACTGTAAAAAGATACCAGTGTACCCAGTTGAAAAGCCCTGGTCCCCGGGAATTCTTATCGTATTTTGGCTGAGCGGCCTGCCGTATTTGGGTCGTTTCACGCCGGTGAGGCTTCAAGGCACCTTTGCAGAGACAGTGACTACAAAAAGGCCCCACAGCAAAGCCCTGAATCGACGCCGCCCAACTTAAGGCACGCAGATTTGCTCAAAGAGGGCATTTCTGGAAAACCCTGACCCATGAAAATCCACCGGAAACATCCATGTCTCCCGAAACTACCCTTGGGATTTCTTAATATAATTTCACTGTACGATATCCCCCAAAAGCCTACCCAAATCAATAAGGCGTCTTTACAAGACCATTCAAAAGCCTAATAATCACCTATTCCAAACATTAAGGCCCACATATTGCAGATTTGGGCAATGAGTGCAGGTAAGCTTCGGTTGCTACGGAGCTGATTCTGTCAGAACTTTGGGTTTAGGGTCCAGGGTTAACGGTTTAGAAACCCTAAGCCTTAACTCCAAATAACTCAAACTTTTAAGGACTTATTTGGGGAAATCCTGATAGGGAGCCCGCAAAAGGAAGGGTTTATAGGCCCCCTCGTAAACCCTAAGCCGTTCATAGTTCAGGCTTTAAGGTTTACGGCCTCCTCCGAAGACGCGAGCACCCAAGCTCCTGACAAAAGAGCTCTTACGTTTGGGTTTAGGGTCCAGGGTTTAGGGTTTAGGGTTTAGGATGGTTGGGTTTAGGGTTTAGGGTTTATGCAGATATACTTGAACCCAAAAAGGTTGTTCGAGCTGCTATACTCAAAATGCCATCAGCGCGAGCCCTGAGTGAAAAGCTCTGGCCTCGACGACTGAACTGAGGAGGAACTCGCCGCCACTGTCGGCCCGAGGCAGACGCGTCACGAAGCAAGCTGCTGGTTGAGACTTCGTACTGTAGTACTGTAACTGTCTCCCCTTGCAAGCATTTCTTGACTTTTGCACAACCTACCATCGATCCTGATAACGGAACTTGAAAAAGATGTCGGGACATCCCAGCGTGCGGTCGTAACGCAGCGCAAAAAATCACCAGTAGGGCTTCAGACGGTCGCCGGCCACCTGCAGTCACGACCATGAAAGAAGCTACAGGAGCGACTTGGCGGCAAAAGATCACAGGCTCTCGAACCCCTTTGTTCTGAAGCCTTTAACTGCGCGCGGGGACCGCATCAGGATTTACAGTTTGCGGTGTAATTATCATTGTTGCCGTCCTGGTCATCGCAGCCATGACCATTATTGCACGAATATGGATACATCCCAAACGCCAAACACTAAGCCTCGCACCCGCTACCCGTCCCCAAACCTTAAAACTTCAAACCCCGAGCCCAACACCGAGCACTCAGGCCAATCCGAGGAAGATTCAAGAGTTCAGGAAATTTACTGGGGGCTATAGGCCCAGTGTTGCTTAATCAGGTTCCTACATGTTTCACCCATCTTGAATTTGGAGGTCACCTTATCCCTACAAGCCAGGCCATTTCTGCATCTCTCAAGTGACAGAGCGACAGAAACCCTAAACCCCACCCGACAAATGTGGCGCGGAAGCTGCTTGATTAATTGATTCTGAGGTTGTGGCTGCGTTTGCCTTCATGGTGGCCTGCAATTTCATGGCGACGAAGAAGGTGTTCGGAGGCAGCTACATGTGAAAGCATATGAAATGACAATAGAATCCACCAAAGTGCCCCATGTCAGTACTATAGGGGCTTAAATAATTACCAATACTATTTTGGGGGTTCCTTATCATAATTATAGTATAATGGGCCCCAAAACCCTATTCTAATTATTAAGGCCCCTATATTATCTGTGATTGGCTGTGACCTGCCTGCAAAATTTGGGTGGAGAGACTCATGTGACAGGCAAGGACAACAAAGAGGTGTCAGATGAAAACCCGACCTACCTGCAACTTGGCCTGTCGCAGAGCCTGCGTGGGAGTTCACTCGGCTAATATGGGAGCCTCAAAATAGAATATGGTTTTGGGGCCGGTTGTGCTGTAATTATCATAAGGAACCCCAAAAGAGTACAGGTGATTATGAATGCCCTCTCTACCATAGAACCCTACTATAGATCCCTTTTGGACCCCTTTAAGGGACCCTTTAAAGGAACCCCCCACAAGCGTTTAGGGTTTAGGGTGGGTGTTCCCTATCGTAGAGAATCTGGGTTGGCTCATGGAACCGGCCCAGTCGTCAGCGAATACCGCCCCGTTGGAGACGGGGAATATGGGGGTTCCTTTAAAGGGTTCCCTAAAGGGGTCTACATGGGATCTATAGTAGGGTTCTACGGTATAGAGGCCTAAATAATTACCTATACTATTTTGGGTGTCTCCTTATTTGTTAAGGCCTCTATACCAGTGCATAGAGCAGCCTTTTGAATTTGTAGGGGCCCACCTAATTAGGTGTAAGTCCCTGCGTTGGCCTGCTCGCCGCATCCGTCCCTCGCAGGGAATGGGGGAATGGATCCCTATGATAGTCCCGGAGTTATCCTAATTATAGCCTACTCATAACCATACTTACTAAGTCCCATGAGCCTTTAAGTAGACCCTAAGCCCCAAACCCTTAAAGGGGACCCTATGATAGAACCCTATGGTACCCTTAAAAGAACCCTAAACTCTACTTACTAAAGTCCCATTGTAGCCTGCTACTATTTGCTTAACAACACCGAAAAAATAAAAAATATATTCCTTATGGGGGTAAGATAGGGATTATTATTTTTTTATTCTTTGGGGGTTTCTTAAGCAAATAGTAGCCTGCCTCGAGCCGAGGACTCCTGACGGCAAGACCTTCGCAGTGTGGGGCATCATCTACTTGCTCGAGACCATGTGCCTTCGCAGCCATGGAATCTTCGGGGCCGGTCGAAAACGCTTGTTTCTGAAGGTTTAGGGTTTGGGGGGTTTAGGGGGTTTAGGGGGTTTAGGGTTATGGGTTCTGAACCTGAAAATTTCGGAGCTGCCCTATGCAACTTTCTAATTTCTTGCCATGGCAGTGTGGAAGGATTGAGCCTGCACGAAGCCCTTGCTGCTCAGGCTTGTGTTCGCCCAATGGTCAAACACGGAGTCAACCGAAGCAGTGATTCTTGGCTCATGGTTATTGTCTTCCTGAACCCCAAATAACCTACCTTTTGAAGGACCTATATAAAGAAGTCATTTTAGGGAACCCTAAAAGAGGTAGGTTCCTTAGGGTCCACCCTATACCCTAAACCCTAAACCGAACCTCAAACCCGAACCACCCGTCTGATTGTTTGGGCTTCGAAGTTTCTGAAACCTCTTCAGCCTTAACGGTTCAGGGTTTAGGGTTTAGGGGTTGATGGACAAAATCCTGCATGACCTGAACGACCCTAAACTCTGGGAACTATGGTATATTCCTTATGCAGGATTTTGTCCATCAGCCCTAGGAATAAACAGCGCGAGAGGTCGGCTTTAGGAAAGCGACCCAGACCAACTAGAGAAGCCCTCCTAAAACCCGCAGGCTCGTCTAGGGTCTTCTTGTACCCATAACAGCATCTTAACTTTCAGTGTGTCTATTCATTGCACTCATTTTCCGAAATTTTTTTTTGAGGCTTGAGTCATTGGCGGGGCTATTTTGCAGATCGTAGTCCTTGCAATGTGAGTGTGTGCTGGGTAGCTTCATCTTCAGTTTCTCTGCCAGGCTCCCTAGTACTTTGTCATGGTTGGGTAACGCTTTACACCTTTCGGGGTACTTAAATCCCAAGAAGGAATGGAACTAGAAGTTACAATCTTTAATACAAGCCTAGGATGCCCAGTAGTACCTTTATTCCCTTTTTGTAGTCCTAGGTTCCTTATAAAGTTACGCAGTACCAAAAAGAGAGGCTTTTTTATTCTTACTGGGTATCCTAGAAGCCCTGCTATGAACTAGAGCACATTTCAGCAAGGCCACTGAGATCCTCGTTTCACTGCTTAGGCCTCTGTACTACTGCCTTGTCATCTAGGCTGCCACCCAGGGGCGTCAAAAAGGGTCTTTCGGAAAAAGATCTTAACACAAAATAGTAAAATAGTACAAAACAAAAGTACTAAAATAATAATAGTAATAATAGTAATAATATTATAACTGAGGGTGTTTAAGGCCGCACCTGCTGCTCGTTGAATCAAGTCTGTTCGCCGTGCGGCTTGCATTTTTGTTGCTGCCCGATTAAGGGCACTTGTTGC